CAAAGAAAAAGCCATATCTCAGACTGGCCAATAAAAATAAAATATTAAGATGGGCAAAAGAACACAGACACTGGACAGAGGAAGATTGGAAAAAAAGTGTTATGGACAGACAAATCGAAGTTTGAGGTGTTCGGATCACAAAGAATAACATTTGTGAGACGCAGACCAAATGAAAAGATGCTGGAGGAATGCTTGATGCCATCTGTCAAGCATGGTGGAGGCAATGTGATGGTATGGGGGTGCGTTGGTGGTGGTAAAGTGGGAGATTTGTACAGGGTAAAAGGGATCTTGAAGAAGGAAGGCTATCACTCCATTTTGCAACGCCATGCCATACCCTGTGGACAGCGCATGATTGGAGCCAATTTCCTCCTACAACAGCACAGCTCCACACTATGCAATAACTATTTAGGGAAGAAGCAATCAGCTGGTATTCTGTTTATAATGGAGTGGCCAGCACAGTCACCGGATCTCAACCCTATTGAGCTGTTGTGGGAGCAGCTTGACCATAAGAAGTGCTCATCAAGCCAATCAAACTTCTGGGAGGTGCTTCAGGAAGCATGGGACGAAATCTCTTCAGATTTTCAACAAACTGACAACTATATTTACATTTTAGTCATTTAGCAGACGCTCTTATCCAGAGCGACTTACAGTTAGTGAGTGCATACATTTTCATACTGGCCCCCTGTGGGAAACGAACCCACAACCCTGGCGTTGCAAGCGCCATGCTCTGCCAACTGAGCTACAGGGGACTAGAATGCCAAAGGTCTGCAAGGCTGTAATTGCTGCAAATGGAGGATTCTTTGACGAAAGCAACGTTTGAAGGATACAATTATTATTTATATAAAAAATCATTATTTCTAACCTTGTCAATGACTACATTTCCTATGCATTTTGCTATATTTCCTATTCAAGCTCATTTCATGTATGTTTTCATGGAAAACAAGGACATTTCTAAGTGACCCCAAACTTTTGAACGGTAGTGTATATATTTTTCATGTTGTTTTGTAATCAGCTGTTTCGTTTTTTATAACATTGAGTTTTTATTGCATATACAGTGGGGAGAACAAGTATTTGATACACTGCTGATTTTGCAGGTTTTCCTACTTACAAAGCATGTAGAGGTCTGTAATTTTTATCATAGGTAGTACACTTCAACTGTGAGAGACGGAACCTAAAACAAATCTCCAGAAAATCACATTGTATGATTTTTAAGTAATTAATTTGCATTTTATTGCATGACATAAGTATTTGATCACCTACCAACCAGTAAGATTTCCGGCTCTCACAGACCTGTTAGTTTTTCTTTAAGAAGCCCTCCTGTTCTCCACTCATTATCTGTATTAACTGCACCTGTTTGAACTCATTACCTGTATAAAGACACCTGTCCACACACTCAATCAAACAGACTCCAACCTCTCCACAATGGCCAAGACCAGAGAGCTGTGTAAGGACATCAGGGATACAATTGTAGACCTGCACAAGGCTGGGATGGGCTACAGGACAATAGGCAAGCAGCTTGGTGAGAAGGCAACAACTGTTGGCGCAATTATTAGAAAATGGAAGAAGTTCAAGATGACGGTCAATCACCCTCGGTCTGGGGCTCCATGCAAGATCTCACCTCGTGGGGCATCAATGATCATGAGGAAGGTGAGGGATCAGCCCAGAACTACACGGCAGGACCTGGTCAATGACCTGAAGAGAGCTGGGACCACAGTCTCAAAGAAAATCATTAGTAACACACTACGCCGTCATGGATTAAAATCCTGCAGCGCACGCAATGTCCCCCTGCTCAAGCCAGCGCATGTCCAGGCCCGTCTGAAGTTTGCCAATGACCATCTGGATGATCCAGAGGAGGAATGGGAGAAGGTCATGTGGTCTGATGAGACAAAAATAGAGCTTTTTGGTCTAAACTCCACTCGCCGTGTTTGGAGGAAGAAGAAGGATGAGTACAACCCCAAGAACACCATCCCAACCGTGAAGCATGGAGGTAGAAACATCATTCTTTGGGGATGCTTTTCTGCAAAGGGGACAGGACGACTGCACCGTATTGAGGGGAGGATGGATGGGGCCATGTATCGCGAGATCTTGGCCAACAACCTCCTTCCCTCAGTAAGAGCATTGAAGATGGGTCGTGGCTGGGTCTTCCAGCATGACAACGACCCGAAACACACAGCCAGGGCAACTAAGGAGTGGCTCCGTACGAAGCATCTCAAGGTCCTGGAGTGGCCTAGCCAGTCTCCAGACCTGAACCCAATAGAAAATCTTTGGAGGGAGCTGAAAGTCCGTATTGCCCAGCGACAGCCCCGAAACCTGAAGGATCTGGAGAAGGTCTGTATGGAGGAGTGGGCCAAAATCCCTGCTGCAGTGTGTGCAAACCTGGTCAAGACCTACAGGAAACGTATGATCTCTGTAATTGCAAACAAAGTTTCTGTACCAAATATTAAGTTCTGCTTTTCTGATGTATCAAATACTTATGTCATGCAATAAAATGCAAATTAATTACTTAAAAATCATACAATGTGATTTTCTGGATTTTTGTTTTAGATTCCGTCTCTCACAGTTGAAGTGTACCTATGATATAAATTACAGACCTCTACATGCTTTGTAAGTAGGAAAACCTGCAAAATCGGCAGTGTATCAAATACTTGTTTTCCCCACTGTATCTGGTGGTTTGTACCCACAGATTTACAGATTTGCAGACTAACAGGTCAACTTTTTTTGGGCTTGGCTAGCTAGCTAGCTGACTAATATTGCTTTTCTTTGAATAATGCATCTGGACACTGTACCAGCTTTTTTGTTTCACCTGGCTGCTGGTGCCTGATCTTTTGAAAACATACATTGAGGAGTCAATTAAGCTTGAGAGGAATGGGAGAAAGTTGGCACCACAACGCGGAAAATGACAACACCACGAGCCGAACGGAAAACCCAATCTGAAATCTGTTTGACGTGTAGCCTTCAGGATGTGTGATGATAACAATTTCATTGAAATACCTCAATGTTCTTCACAAGTTACATTTTAGCAATCCCTTGAGTTCCAGTGTTACAATGTATCCAACATGAATGCAAAACATCAACTGAGGAATCACCTTAAGCTTGAGAGGAATAGGAGATGCAGTGGAGGAAAGCAGTGCTGAGGCAGAGGGCTCATTGTGAGGACGATTGGCTACTACTCTGAACTGTGTAGTGAAATTTCTGGTGCCTAGAGCTGCTAAGGCATCACCCAAGTGGGTGCCACACATTGTGAAGGAGGATAACTCCAGTGGCTACATGACTCAGGCTGGTTCCCAGAGTAGCCCTCTACAAGATCATCATCAGACTCCATCTCCAACAACCATCTCCCTAAACCCCTTAATCTGATCAAGCCATGAACTGACCCTCTACATTTTTGGAGGATGCATGCACTCAGACTTGGCATCTATTGGTTGTCCTAGCTAGCTAGCTATAGCTAGGTTACTCATGATGATATATTGCTTGTTTGGTTTTTTGAAGCGCTTTGAGATGTCTTTCTGTTATGAAAAGCGCTATAGAAGTTTAACAAATTATTATTATTATGTATTATATATGCTTTATATCACAGTCATTTACCTTTATAAATTCTATATTATGTATATGGAGAATGTTGCATCTTTCATCCACATTCATCTGTTTGAGAGCAATGTGGATGCATCTCAATAGTCTGTGTCCACTTCCTCTACTCGTCTCTCCTCTGTCTACTGATCTGAAAACATGAAATAAGTGCAATAAATGGGTTAGATGCCACCAAGGTATTTGCTTTCACCTGTCTAGTTTGTTTCATATCAGTGAATATGAAGGAGAGGAGATGAGGATTAGGGGAAAGGAATCCATTTTATACTATTGAGATGCAGCCTGTATATCAATTACAGTGCCTGTGTTGCTATTGAATGAAAGGGCTCCACACAGTGATGCAAGATGCAGTCCTTCAACTTAATGTGTTGCTGTGAGCAACTGGCATTTATAGATGGTGTATCGACTCAGAGCACTGTAAGCAGCCATTCAGGAGGGCCATCGGGAATTTCAAGGCTTCTCCTTGTAGCAGTCTAGAGGATGTTTTTAATTACAGGCCTAATATGTAGTGTCTTGAATTTTGTTGATAAGAAAATTATTATTTTGATGACAGAATGAATGTGCCTACAGACATTCTTATGTAAACTGTGACTATCTGTCCTAAATTAAATAGACATCAGTAGTGGAGCCTACAAGATGCTCTAGGCATGATGACCGCTTGACATAATAAATGATTCCTGAGTGGAAGAATAATTACCCTTATGTATGTTAGACAAATTATGCAATGTGACATATTATAAAAACATGCCTTATGCCTTTAGGCATGTTTTCTTGTTGTGTCAAAACATCTGGTTGTCAGCGACTACTAATGGTACCAACATGCAGGCCTATGAAGTCACTACAAGCACAATTACATAGGGTCAAAATAACTTTGAAATGAACATAGAAGCTTATCACAGACGGATTTCAAGTTTGAGTAGACTGTCATTTTACATTGAAGGGCTGTTGTTGTTGCAGTAGCCTTACAAGCCAAACGTTGTTGTTAGGCCTACTATTCATCAATATAAATAATAACAGGTTAGGACTATAATAAGGTTATAACATGGTAAGAATTAAATGTAATGCTTATATGTTTTTGTATGATAGCCTATGATAGTAGAAGACTATCTGTACACCGGGGCTTACCATATTCGGTCTGTAGTGGGAGTCTCTGGGTGTGGTGGAAGGGAGTGAGCATATTGCTCATAGCACTGAACAAGGAAGTGAGTCATATTGACGGTGTTACCTCTACGCAACACAGGGATAATCTCAATTAAATCTACGTTGCATCCTCTCTCCTCGTCTCCTTATCAAAACCCATTGGAGGAGAAGGTCAGAGGGGCGGGACCCCTGGTTTTCTCATCCAATGGATTTTGAGAAGGAGACGAGGAGAGAGGACGCGAGGAGAATGCAATTGAGATATTCCCACAGACCAACGCAAAACCAGGAACGTGGATCACTTTGATTGTACCAAAGAGAACAAGGAAGCAACATGTGCCGATAACTATACAAGTAGTCTGATCACAGCAATATAGAGAGGAAATAGAGAAAACAGCGTCATTACACTGGATATTTAAAATACTGCGGTTATTAGACAGGTAAGTGAGAAATATTGAGAAGTTTACCATATTTGGAAGTCAACCTTTTGATGTGATTGAAAAATTATTTTGTAAACAAATGTAGGCTCTTTCCACATGCGATTTAAATAACTTGGTGATTGTTTGGGTATTACAAAAGTTGTACATGTATTTATTCTTTAAGGAATATGTTGCTTAATGACTAGAAATGACAGCAATTACAACAGCTAGCTCACCACGACAATCCTTGTAGTGTGTAATAATTTAATTGGAGCCTAGTTTAATTGTTGTTTAGCTTTTTTATTCCCAAATCGAACTATTATTTAAGTTTGTATATTTTAAACAATTTAGACTTAATCTTTAGGATAAACGCGGAATCTATTCAAGGAAACGTTTTGAATTTCCAATTACATGGGGGGATTTCCGCGTTGAGAACCCACTCCCCTGTTCAATGTTTTCGAAAGAGGAAGAAAAAAGTCGGCGCCACAAAAACCACAGGCTGAACGGAAAACCCAATCTGAAATCTGTTTGACGTGTAGCCTACAGGATGTGTGATCTCTAAATGATAACCATTTAATGTTCTTCACAAGTTACATTATAGCAATCACTTGAGTTCAAGTGTTACAATGTATCCAATCTCTGCAGTGTTGACTCTTTCCATAGGCTCAGGAAGCACGTGACCGGGCTATAGGAGACTCAAATCCACTCTTTCAGATCTGAAATGTCAGCTGTTTTCTTTCCATTTACATGAACTTGCTATCAACAAGACTCCCCACATGGCATGGGCCAACAACCTCATGTATTGTATATGCTGCTATAACATTACTGTGCTATAACCATAATCTTCCAAGCAGCCATATTACTCAACAACAACCAGATATTAATTAACTGATGTCAAAGAAATACAGACAGCATGTATAACACAGAAGCTTCTCACTGCCAGTGTTCACTCATCTTAATAGGAACTAGTTATTATACAATTATTGGTTATTATGTAGGTTATTGTACTGTGTTAGGCTCAGTGGATTGGTTCAGATTATTGGGAACACCATGTCAATTTTCTCACCCTTGAACAACATGGACTGACATGTATGTTGTTATTGGGTTGTAGAGAGGTCATGTCTCTGTCTTTACACACAGATCAATACAGGGGTTGCTGCAATACCAACACCTCAGTGTTACTGCTTTGTCTGTTAGAGGCAGTAGTTCACTGTGTACTGTCTATAGAGGGTAAGCATGTCACTCAAAGACTCTGCTACTGGAACGGTTGCTATGCATGTAAATGCAATTTACATACAGATCTGATTTGGCTTAAAGATGCACCCCAGGCTCCATTTCACCTCTTTATCACCTGATTTACTTACCAAAAGGCACATCTCAATAGGAGGTCCAGGTATGTCATGACATGGCACAAGTGTGTGTGTGGGGGGGGGGGGGGGGGGGGGGGGGAGGTGTATGTAAACATTATTAAAGTGACTAGTGTTCCATTATTAAAGTGACCAGTGATTCCATGTCTATGTACATAGGGCAGCAGCCTCTAGGGTGCAGGGTTGCGCAACCGGGTGGTAGCCGGCTGGTGATGGCTATTTAACAGTCTGATGGCCTTGAGATAGAAGCTGTTTTTCAGTCTCTCGGTCCCAGCTTTGATGCACTGTACTGACCTCGCCTTCTGGATGATAGCGGGGTGAACAGGCCATGGCTCAGGTAGTTGATGTCCTCGAAGATCCTCTATTGTCCTCTATTGCTATTCTATTTTTCCCGCAAGCAAGGGGGGATGCCAATGACATCACATCAGACCAACTCTGTGAAGTTTGCAGTTGTGTTTAAAAAACAAAACATTTCTCAGAATGTATTGTTTTAACCTTAAGTGTGTGTACCAGAGGAGGCTGGTGAGGGGAGGACAGCTCTTAATAATGAATGGAGTGAATGGAATGGTATCAAACACATGGAAACCAGGTGTTTGATGTGTTTGAGACCATTCCATTAATTCCGTTCCAGCAATTACTATGAGCCTGCCCTCCCCTTTTAAAGTGCCACCAGCCACCACTGGTGTGTACATTACTGTATTTATACTCGGGATATTGTTTTTTAACAGGAAAAGTTCAAAAATAGCTGGAGTGTGTCTTTAAACCTCTTGGCCCCTTTGGGAGCATAGGGCGTCCACCATGGCTCTCCACCTCACTTCTGTGCGATGGCTTTTGATCTAGGACATACAGATCTAGGACATACAGTGGGGAGAACAAGTATTTGATACACTGCCGATTTTGCAGGTTTTCCTACTTACAAAGCATGTAGAGGTCTGTATCATAGGTACACTTCAACTGTGAGAGACGGAATCTAAAACAAAAATCCAGAAAATCACATTGTATGATTTTTAAGTAATTAATTAGCATTTTATTGCATGACATAAGTATTTGATACATCAGAAAAGCAGAACTTAATATTTGGTACAGAAACCTTTGTTTGCAATTACAGAGATCATACATTTCCTGTAGGTCTTGACCAGGTTTGCACACACTGCAGCAGGGATTTTGGCCCACTCCTCCATACAGACCTTCTCCAGATCCTTCAGGTTTCGGGGCTGTCGCTGGGCAATACAGACTTTCAGCTCCCTCCAAAGATGTTCTATTGGGTTCAGGTCTGGAGACTGGCTAGGCCACTCCAGGACCTTGAGATGCTTCGTACGGAGCAACTCCTTAGTTGCCCTGGCTGTGTGTTTCGGGTCGTTGTCATGCTGGAAGACCCAGCCACGACCCATCTTCAATGCTCTTACTGAGGGAAGGAGGTTGTTGGCCAAGATCTCGCGATACATGGCCCCATCCATCCTCCCCTCAATACGGTGCAGTCGTCCTGTCCCCTTTGCAGAAAAGCATCCCCAAAGAATGATGTTTCCACCTCCATGCTTCACGGTTGGGATGGTGTTCTTGGGGTTGTACTCATCCTTCTTCTTCCTCCAAACACGGCGAGTGGAGTTTAGACCAAAAAGCTCAATTTTTGTCTCATCAGACTACATGACCTTCTCCCATTCCTCCTCTGGATCATCCAGATGGTCATTGGCAAACTTCAGACGGGCCTGGACATGCGCTGGCTTGAGCAGGGGGACCTTGCGTGCGCTGCAGGATTTTAATCCATGACGGCGTAGTGTGTTACTAATGGTTTTCTTTGAGACTGTGGTCCCAGCTCTCTTCAGGTCATTGACCAGGTCCTGCCGTGTAGTTCTGGGCTGATCCCTCACCTTCCTCATGATCATTGATGCCCCACGAGGTGAGATCTTGCATGGAGTCCCAGACCGAGGGTGATTGACCGTCATCTTGAACTTCTTCCATTTTCTAATAATTACGCCAACAGTTGTTGCCTTCTCACCAAGCTGCTTGCCTATTGTCCTGTAGCCCATCCCAGCCTTGTGCAGGTCTACAATTTTATCCCTGATGTCCTTACACAGCTCTCTGGTCTTGGCCATTGTGGAGAGGTTGGAGTCTGTTTGATTGAATGTGTGAACAGGTGTCTTTTATACAGGTAACGAGTTCAAACAGGTGCAGTTAATACAGGTAATCAGTGGAGAACAGGAGGGCTTCTTAAAGAAAAACTAACAGGTCTGTGAGAGCCGGAATTCTTACTGGTTGGTAGGTGATCAAATACTTATGTCATGCAATAAAATGCAAATTAATTACTTAAAAATCATACAATGTGATTTTCTGGATTTTCTCACAGTTGAAGTGTACCTATGATAAAAATTACAGACCTCTACATGCTTTGTAAGTAGGAAAACCTGCAAAATTGGCAGTTTATCAAATACTTGTTCTCCCCACTGTAGATGAGGGCCTTGCAGAATGCAGATCTGTTCATGGCATTACATTTTTTATCTGGATAATGTAATTTATAGACAGGAAGATGTTTCATTCTGGTCTCAGTGGTCCTAACATATTCTAATCTAATCATGAGCAATGTCCACATCAATCCAGTCTAAATAAGGTAGTGAATGATTTAGCGATAATAGCACTTTAATATGCAAAGTTTATGATGACAGATGAGGCAACCAGTAAATGACTGGGCCATCATCTAACATGAGGTCAGCTCTCTGAGCTGTAAGAGGTTTCACACTAGACTGCAGAGTGGAGGGGAGCATTGCACAGAATGAAACTTCTCACCACCTCTTGACCTGATAACCCTCGCCATTACATGCCCTGTCCTAGATACTGCACAAGAACCACATTACTAAGTTCAGAGATGCTCATGTCTCTCAATTAGCCTCTCAATGTCTTCAGTGATGTACAGCAGTGGCCAAAATATGTGTCTGTTAGTTACACTTTTGAGAAATGGCTCTACCGTTGTAGGATCTTAATTTGATCACTCTCTTGTTGCTGAAATGCAGCGCAGGAAATGCAGAGGAGCTTTGTGAGTTACATAAATTCACTGAAAACCCACGCTAACACACGGTTATATTAACAGTGTTGCACCTTTCATGTAGCCTACCTTTGGCCAGCTAATATTTACATTTACATTTACATTTTAGTCATTTAGCAGACGCTCTTATCCAGAGCGACTTACAGTTAGTGAGTGCAAACATTATTTTCTTATTTTTTCATACTGGCCCCCCGTGGGAATCGAACCCACAACCCTGGCATTGCAAACGCCATGCTCTACCAACTGAGCTACATCCCTGCCGACCATTCCCTCCCCTACCCTGGACGACACTGGGCCAATTGTGCGCCGCCACATGGGTCTCCCGGTCACGGCCGGCTACGACAGAGCCTGGATATACACAGTTACACACAAACATTGACACACACAAATATTCAAAAACATACACACAAATGTTTAACCCCCTGCACACACCTTCCACTTGTTTTCATCTGCCAACACTGAATGACTTGTCCAGTTTCCTGGTTTTCAGAGCACAACACCAATACAGTCGTGTGCATGCAAAACACATCCCTCCAGCCTCCCAGCGGTTTGTCAGACGAACAGGGCACAGACAAACTGCTGGGTAATAAAACAGACCTCCAAAGCCATGGAAGCAACAGAAGAGGGGATAGATGAAAGCAAGGGTGGTCTGTCGATACAGGGACCCTAAGGACAAATCTGGGGGGGGTCATCGATGGAGCAATGTCAATTTCTGGCTGGGGCTGAGAGGAGAGCTTTGAAGGCCAAGGGAGGTGTGGACGGGTTCCGTCTCTTGTCTGACTCCGGGCCTCTTTTTGGAATGTGTGCCTTTCATGTTCTCAGGAAGTCCCTGGCGGTGAGACACAACAAGAAGAGGGACGGGGGTGTTAGGGGGGCCTTTGTTGATGGTGCGAGAGCCTCAAAGGAGAGGGACACTTGACTGCCCTCTCTTATCTCCCCCTCCTCTTGTTTATGAGCTAATTAAGCATTGTTCAGCTCTATTTCCCCAACACCCCTCCCTCTTTCTACTTATACAGTACCACCATAAGCATGACTTTCGTTCCTTTACGGCCCCCTCTATAACATAACACCCCCTTTAGAACAGCTTTCAGTGATTGTGTGGTGCTCTACCCTCTACAGCTCACTATTGCTGCTTTTTGACTGCAACACCAGTGTTACATTAGTATATATACCCTTATGTTATACTAGGGAAATTGTGTTTCCAATGCTAGGGTTGACAGTGAGGACTTCTAAAGAGCAGAATCAACAACCTCTGCATAATGAAAACAATTGCTTTGTGTGGTGTTAAAGTTCACAGTTAGCCATTGTTATGTAAATGTCAGCTGAAAAGTACCAGTGGCCTGGCTTTGGCCCCAGATGACAGCAGGTCCGCCGGAGCCATGGCCCAGTGAGACACAGGTGCTGGCCCGCGTAGATGGACACAGAAAAGTTTGAGCCTTTTGGGTAAAACACCGGGGTAAACCCTACATAGAAATGCGCCATATGGCCACCCCTTAACTGCTGGGGCTATTACACATTTATCTAACTCACTGAATGCAATATCATATAGATTACCCTGCAAAGCATGTAAAAAGATAATGTAGCCTATAGATATAGATATATAGAGAGTGAGAGAACATGACATAGCTCAAAAAGATAGAGCAAGAAAGAGAGGGTTCATATTCACACATACACAGTTCAAATCCAGTTCAAATGTGCTCTCATGTCTTAAGTGACCTACAGTCTTTTATTGGGAGTTCAAGTCTGCCCCTGTCTGACCCCATTATAGGACACTGGGGCCCCACCAACCTCCCAGGAACAAAGACATGAAGGCATGATGGCTCCGTGTTAGACACAGGGAGTCACTGGACGGTCAGTGATGAGGACAACGTCTCAGCTGCAGGATTTCCTGACATACTGTGTAGTGTCTCTGCTCTTAGAGACTGATCGACGGCCTGTAAGTCATGTTGGTGCAATATAATTATTTTTACATTTACATTTTAGTCATTTAGCAGACGCTCTTATCCAGAGCGACTTACAGTTAGTGAGTGCAAACATTATTTTTTATTTTTTATTTTTTTCATACTGGCCCCCCGTGGGAATATATACTACTCTGAGACAGAGTAGGAACTGGATGTTGTGTCCATAGCCTAACCACCGATCAAGCAACATTATGGACTAAACGTTCCAATCCTGTCGCTGCAGGATTATTTTGCTGTGATAATATAGGTCAAATTAAGATCCTACATCTGTATGTTGCTGTGCAGTCTGAAAAATAACAAACCTGTGGTGATTGTTGTGGGCAATATTATTAGACTGAATGACATTGTGTGGCTGTGAAGTTAGAGAAGTGGTCAGACTGTGAACTAGTCAGTCAGAACAATGTGATGAGTCAGTAGTCTGTGTCTGTAACAGTCTGTGTTACTGTATGTCTGTACAGATGTAGGATCTTCATTTGGTCACCCTGTTGCAGGAGAACTTTCCTGCAATGCAGGAAATTTAAAACTTGTAGTGTATTTGAGGTTTGAAAAGGCTTCTGAAGTTTATAATTTCCACTTTGAAATTTCAGACTTGATTTTCACTTACAAAAAATGTATCAACCCCTACAGAAACGTCCATTATTTTATAATCCACACAATAATTCACATTTCCTGTTGCTGCAGGATTATTTTCCTGCTGTAGCAAACTGTCTCAAATTAAGATCCTACATTAGTAACTTCTCACTGACATTTCTATTGGGTTTCAACATGGTGATGAAAACAATATTTTTCAGTCCATTCAAACTGGTCCATGTCACATTGATCACATGTACAAACAAAGTCTACCCTTCTTCTGTATATCCCTAAGGTAAAAAGGATTACCATTCTGTCACCCCCCCACTGTAAATATCCTGTTACGTATCTAACATTCTTTCTTTCCACCAACTGTGGGACGAGGCAGTTTAAGAGTGCAGGCTAGAGGCACCACCTGCAAATGCTTTTCAGTTATGCCAGCTATCTGAAACAGGAAATCCTAGCTGAAAAACCATAGTGTCAGCTGGGTTTACAGAGTTGTCTTCAGACTGAGGTACTGGTGTCTGTGGCTGTGTGTGTGTGTGTTTATGTGAAAGTGAGATAGAGGGAGAGAGTTTCGACATAACATCCTGAGGCACACGGAGTTCTTCAAGGACTTGTGACCGTGTACTGGTAGAGTTCTAATGAAAAATGCATTCTGTTATTGAGTAAGATATAATCACAGTACCATGCGATCATGAAAAGCATCTAAAAGCAATATTGTGAAGTAATAATGTAATGAATATGACTTTGTTACCTCACCATCTGGTATATCTCTACAACTGAGTTACAAAGTGGTTAATAACTGAATAAGCTCACTGAACCTACCCCACTGGGACAAAACTGGTTGAATCAACCTTGTTTCCTCATCATTTCAACTGCCCAAATCAATGTGGTGACGTTGAATCAATGTGGAAAACGAATTGGAATTGCAAAAAGTCATCAACGTAAGGGCATTTTGTATTTTTTTCATCAAACTTTTAACCTAAATCTAATGACGTGATTTTTTTGTTCACATTGAATTTCCGTTAGTTGACACTCAACCAAATGTAAATCAAAGCTAGATGTTAAACTGACATCTGTGCCCAGTAGGACTGTACGGTAAAGCTATTTGTTATGTTGGTCTTAAGGGAAATTAACTTACTTCTTCACTTGTGACCTGTAAAAACAAATTGTTTCTGTATAATTGCTTAACAGTTTACGTAATGCCATTAGTACATTGTTTTGTCACCAGACAAAGTCTGTCACCTCCGGGAAGATGCTTGAGGTGGAAGCTGATGCAACCAGTGTTTTTTCAGATTCTCCCTGACTCCCTCTATGTATGTCAGGTCTACACTGACAACAACAATTAACCCTCGCACCTCGACTAAACCAGAGCAGGAAGTCAACACACTGTCTTTCCAGGGTGTCACTTACACTCCTCACATATGTAGTTTCATGATGGCTAATCAGCTAAACTGGCTCAGCATTTCTGCTAAGCGGGCAAACATTAAAGTTCTTTGACCTGTACTGTAGGCAAGGGTTGTACTGTACCTTCTACCCTATGTCAATCTGACACTGTCTGGCACTACTGAGAAGAAACAGACACTCTTATCTATCAGAAGGCACATACTGTACATTTGGTCTGTACCTGAATCTGACATGTTTTGCGTATGTGACATATTCACATGCCAACATGGCCTATGAGTCTATTTGCATCTTGTTTGCCTGTATACAAACTACGACCTTTGGTTCCCAGTTTGTTTCAACAACAGAAGGCCAGTCTGACTTGCGTACATTGAACAGATAGATGTAGTGTGGTCTGAAGGTAATGATCATAGAAATACTCTAGGAAGAGGTCTTATCCGAGGAGCTGAGTTCCTCCTGCCCTACATTAGACTGAAAGGTGGTAAATATTTTGTAATACAGACTGTGAAATAGGGCTGTTCTGGGGTTTGAGGAACTGAGAATGTTTTTTGACAGTGGTGGCTTGTGAATTGAACACACACGCTGTAGTTTCGGAATAGTTTTTCCACGCTGTACTGTTGGTTCAAATCTTCTAAATTAGTTGAGTAGCTTTACAGGATAGACAAATGTTTTCTGCACCTATTTCTTCACAGAAACGATGAAGAGAGAGGTAAACGCTGGGGTGAATTTCCTGAGACGCCTAGCTGTGGAGCGGGGTGGCTTGGATGGAACCAAAGCTGACGCTTTTGCTGGAAAGTTGCGGCAACTTCTGTGTGACAAATTCAAAGACCACTGGTACCCCGACAACCCCAACAAAGGACAGGCATTCAGGTAATCAGCAAGTGAAGTGAAATATTAAAGAAGTGAAGTAACTGGTTTGTTATTTCGTGTGGCTGTCTCTGAGAAGATACATAATACAGCTGCTGAGAAAATTAAGAGACCACTGCAAAATTATGAGTTTCTCTGGTTTGACTATTTCTAGGTATGTGTTTGGGTAAAAATAACATTTTTGTTTTATTCTATAAACTACTGACAACATTTCTCCCAAATTCCAAATAAAAATATTGTCATTTAGAGCATTTATTTGCAGAAAATGACAACTGGTCAAAATAACAAAAAAGATGCAGTGATGTCAGACCTCGAATAATGCAAAGAAAATAAGTTCATGTTCATTTTTAAACAACACAATAGTAATGTTTTAACTTAGGAAGAATTTTCAATCACAGCTTTCATGCGTCTTGGCATGCTCTCCACCAGTCTTTCACATTGATGTTGGGTGACTTTATGCCACTCCGCAAAAATTCAAGCAGCTCTGCTTTGTTTGATGGCTTGTGACCATCCATCTTCCCCTTGATAACATTCCAGAAGTTTTCAATGAGGTTCAGGTCTGGAGATTGAGCTGGCCATGACAGGATCTGGTGGTCCTCCATCCACACCTTGATTGACCTGGCTGTGTGGCATGGCGCATTGTCCTGCTGGAAAAACCAATCCTCAGAGTTGGGGAACAATGTCAGAGCAAAAGGAAGCAAGTTTTCTTCCAGGACAACCTTGTACGTGCCCGATTCCAGCCTTGCTGAAGCACCCCCAGATCATCACCGATCCTCCATCAAATTTCACAGTGGGTGCGAGACACTGTGGCTTGTAGGCCTCTCCATGTCTCAGTCTAACCACTAGACGACCAGGTGTTGGGCAAAGCTGAAAATTGGACTCATCAGAGAAGATGACCTTACTCCAGTCCTCTATGGTCAAATCCTTATGGTCTTTTGCAAACCTCTGCCTGGCTCTTCTTTGCTTCTCATTGATGAAGGGCTTTTTTTCTAGCTTTGCACGACTTCAGCCCTGCCCCTAGGAGCCTGTTTCGAACCGTCCTTCGCCGTGCACTTCACCCCAGCTGCTGTTTGCCATTCTTTTTGTAGGTCACTTGATGTCATCCTACAGTTGTTGAGTGACATTCGAATGAGTTGCCGTTCATCCCGGTCAGTAGAGAGTCGTTTTCGCCCTCTGCCGGTCTGTAGCTTTGTTGTCTCCAATGTCTGCTGCTTGACCTTGTTCTTATAAACCGCCGTCTTTGACATTTTATGGATGGAAGCAACCTGACGCTCACTGTATCCCTCTGCCAGTAAAGCCAGAATTGAACCCTTCTTTTCCTCACTCAAAACTTTCCTTTTAAACTCTTTTGACATGGTCAATAGTTCTTTTTTTATTAATATTACTTTTGAGGTACTATTAGCACTGTTTTTGCCATCCATCTGGTCCTATTGCAAGAGGATAGTGATGACCACAGCAGTGGTTTTTATACTTTTCCTCGTTAAATAAGATTTGGTTCATGTGATCACCTAATCAGTACCTAATTCAGTAGAATGAGGTGTGCCTGTGTTGGAATTCAACAGACACTGGAATGGAATGTCTGTCATACATGTAGAGATGCTGATTTAAGAAAAATGTGCAGTGGTCTCTTACATTTTTCCACAGCTGTATATGATGAGAATTTGACTGTGGTCCAGGTGAACAGCACTCGGGAGAGTGGAGTTGTGACATCTGCACTTTCACCCCTCTCAGGTGCATCAGGGTAAGCGAGGGGGTGCCGTGTGATGAGGAGGTGCTGAGGGCGTGTGAGGAGAGCGAGCTCAAACCCAGCGAGCTGGGCCTCCCATGCGAGATTGCGCTGTGGATCGACCCACTGGAGGTGTGCGCACGGTGAGTCACACTATGTTACTCACACGTGCACAGACGTACACACACAGTGAGACAGTGACATGCTCAGTCTCAGAAGGCAGAGGAAGAAGGCTTTCATTCGTCATTACAGTCAGCTCTCTGGAGGTACCATAATTATCATCATGATGCATGTGTTGTACGAACCTGCCCACTATGTGATGACTCATCAAGTTACGGTAGGAGGAGGGTGAGGAAATACAACAACTACAATGAGGAAATGATCCTGAGGGAGATGTGTTGATACAAGTGAAACTGTTAGATCCTTCAACCTTTTACTGCAGTGGGTTAAATCAGGGTCACACAGAGTGATTCTTGGTAGTCTTAAAAAAATCTGCTGTGAAACAAAAGTGTACACCTCACACACATGGTTATGGGCTTTAAAAAAAGAAGACATGTTCCATGTCAGATATAGAGTTGAAATGTATTACATTTTGAGTTTGCATCCCAATATTACACTTTATATACATCACAGAAGACTGAAATATAACAAAACCGTTTAACATAGAAACACTGAATTTTCAGCTGCTTTTTTGATTATGAAATTATGAAAAATATTAATAATATTCCACCCATGAGGCCACTAGGTCATTTGACTGCAGGAAATGGCTACAAGGTGGTTTATAGGTCATTCCAATGTGTTTTTTTTACAGGAACTAATGTATTCTCTTTCCTGTCTCACAGGTCAGGGGAGAACAGCAGGTACTTCACAGTAGCTTGTTTCTGTGTTTTTTTTACAGGAACTAATGTATTCTCTTTCCTCTCTCACAGGTCAGGGGAGAACAGCAGGTACTTCACAGTAGCTCGTTTCTGTGTTCTTTTTACAGGAACTAATGTATTCTCTTTCCTCTCTCACAGGTCAGGGGAGAACAGCAGGTACTTCACAGTAGCTCGTTTCTGTGTTTTTTTACAGGAACTAATGTATTCTCTTTCCTCTCTCACAGGTCAGGGGAGAACTGCAGGTACTTCACAGTAGCTCATTTCTGTGTTTTTTTTACAGGAACTAATGTATTCTCTTTCCTCTCTCACAGGTCAGGAGAGAACAGCAGGTACTTCACAGTAGCTTGTTTCTGTGTGTTTTTTTACAGGAACTAATGTATTCTCTTTCCTCTCTCACAGGTCAGGAGAGAACAGCAGGTACTTCACAGTAGCTTGTTTCTGTGTTTTTTTTTACAGGAACTAATGTATTCTCTTTCCTCTCTCACAGGTCAGGGGAGAACTGCAGGTACTTCACAGTAGCTTGTTTCTGTGTTTTTTTTACAGGAACTAATGTATTCTCTTTCCTCTCTCACAGGTCAGGGGAGAACAGCAGGTACTTCACAGTAGCTCGTTTCAAAGAAGGAGAAGAGGAGGATGAGGACTATGTGAAAGGAGACAAAGATGTCGACCTGGATACGTCCGACTACCACTCCGCCACCTCGTCTGACTGTGGCTCTGCTGTCTCCAGTGACACAGAGGAGGAGGGGATGGATGGAGAGACGGAGGGAAGAAAAGATGAGGAGAAGGAGAAAGAGGGAAAGAAAGAGAAGGAAAAGGTGGAGGGCAAACCTTGTGTGATTGCCATGATGCCCAGGGTTCGGGACTGGTTCAGGGTCGAGCATGCTCAACAGAAGGTCAACAAAACACTGGTAAGAACTTTTCTGTTAATCTACATGACCTTAATGTGGTACCAAATCTCCCTATCTGACATCCACAATGTAGCACTGTGGACACGTGGATTCACGTAGCACCAGATCCTACACATCCAGAATAAGTGCTCTCGAAGTACTATCTGATTATTGAAATGAAGATGAATTATAATCGGAATCATATCTAAGATCTCTCTCCCTCTGTTCTTTCTCTCTCCAGCTCCAGCCCACCTCTCAGCAGTACTTCTACCACCCTGCCCCTGTGTGGCCCACAACGTACAAGAAGAAGGGTCCTGTGTTCCTCACCACAATATACGCGCCTCCACCTCCGCCTCCCCCAGTGTTCGGCTACTACGTCCTGCCCCAGCCAACCCCGCAGTTCATCATGCCTTATGCCACTCTGCAGCCATGGGGGGCTGTGAAGAGCTAAACCAACTGGTTGGAGAGGGGGAGGTAAAACTGCCATTTTACCTATGAGCCTAATTATGATGGGTCTATGCAGGTTTTTGAAGGTGTGGGTGAGGCGCAATTAAGATAGTTTGACAAAATATTTGAAGGGTTAGCGGGGAGCACAACTTGATTCATTATATACGTTTTTGATTGCTGTACACTTCATTTTCTTATTTTTGGTGAGAATTGGTTTTGGGGATTTCCTCAATGTAACTTTCTTAGGTAGAATTGCCACTGAAGTAAACAGGGAATATACTAAAACAGGGTTTAGCAAATATTGCTACAGGCACTTCCCTAAGGGCTGCCAGTAAGTTTTGGTTTAGGGTAATCCACTGATTAAAAGTAGTCTGTTCATATTGCTGAAGTGTCTAGAGTAGGCCTGCTAGACAGTGTGTTGCAGATTGACTAGTTTAGTGTGATACTGTATTCCAGTGGTATTCAACTCTTACCCTACGAGGTCCGGAGCCTGCTGTTTTTCTGTTCTACCTGATAATGAATTACACCCACCTGGTGTCCCAGATCTAAATCAGTGTCTGATTAGATGGGGAACAATGAAAAAAAAGCAGTGGAACTGGCTTCAAGGTCCAGAGTGTAGTTTGAGGGCTGTATTCTTTCATTGGGTGCTCATACCATCTCAGGAATCCTCAGCAATAAGCAGAAAGCCAAAGCTTCTTTGGTGATTTTAAATATTTTTGTAAATATTATAGACTACCTTTTCATCTTTCACTAAAACACTTCTGGTTTTTGTTTCTACCTGGTAGTTAATTGCACTCACCTGGTGTCCCAGGTCTGAATTAGTCCCTGATTAGAAGGAGAGGATGAAAAACAGTAGTGTTTCGGCCCTTCAGGACCAGGATTGGGCAGCCCTGCTATAGACAGTAATGATATGCAGTTACATGTGGTAACATATGTACCGTGTCTCTTGTGTTCTCAGAAGCTGCATCTAACTGCATATCATTACAATATAATGTATCAATACAAGACAATAGATTACCACAAGCACTGTACAGTATAAGAAATGGTATTCTGGAATCCAATCAAATGTTACTATTTTTGACAATTCACTGTGATTGTAAACTGTATATTTTATCTGTCAAGCACAAAACTCTCTCTATTTTATAATAATTAACAGACCAACCAGAAGCTTTTTGTACATACTGTAACCTATTAAGAAATAGTAATTATCAACCACATTAGTTTTTTTTTTTTAAATCTGTTGTAATTTATTTTTCACCTGTGGGTGGTACCAAAATCACTGTTGTAAAGTCAAATTCCAAGCATATTTATGGCTATAGTCTATTTTATATATCTTGATAAAGTTTGTAGTGTTGGTGCATGTATGATTTTAATAATTATTTGTTTATAATTTCCATTTTTATAAATCTTTAGTTTGCTAAAGGCCAGATTGAAGAACAATCTGGCCTTTATGGCGATGTACTCTTATAATCGCCACCCGGCACAGCCAGAAGAGGACTGGCCAACCCTCAGAGCCTGGTTCCTCTCTAGGTTTCTTCCTAGGTTCCTGCCTTTCTAGGGAGTTTTTCTAGCCACCGTGCTTCTAGTTCTGCATTGATTGCTGTTTGGGGTTTTAGGCTGGGTTTCTGTATAGCACTTTGTGACATCTGCTGATGTAAAAAGGGCTTTATAACTAAATGTGATTGATTCATTGATTGATTGCTGGGATAAAATGGGTCTGGACTGAACTGTATTCACTCCTGTATAATCAGGCTTCCATGCATTTACTGTAAATAGTTTTATATACTGGAAATGAAAAATGCTTGGGTGATCCAAATGTTTATCTTTAATATGAATAGATGTTTTCATAACTTCATACTTATATTCTCTATTTTTTTACTGGCTTTTATTGGCCCATTGATCTGCTTTGGATGCATATTTATTCCATTGTATTAACTGCCTTTTCACTTGTCCTGAGTGCAGAGCAGTACTCTGTGTTCACACGATTATTACTGTATCTGATGGACAATTGTCCATGCTAATGTTTATGTTAAGCTGTGTCAGTTTTTATACCCATCATCTCTCTGTCTTGTCAGCACATAACATTAAATCAACCGATTTCTAAAATGAAATTGTGTTTTTGCAATCTGTTACCTTGTGTATACTGTACTGTTTCACACAGACAAGTAGTGTATTGAGAGAATATTTATATTTGTCTTTGCGCAAGAGCAGTCTATAGGATACCTCAGGCCAGAATCACTTGCAACTATACTGTATAGCAACATACACTACATGATAAAAGTATGTGGACACCTGCTCATCGAACATCTCATTCCAAAATCATGGGCATTAATATGGAGTTGGTCCCCCTTTTGCTGCTATAACAGCCTCCACTCTTCTGGGTAGGCTTTCCACTAGATGTTAGAACATTGCTGCGGGGACTTGCTTCCATTCAGCCACAAGTGCATTAGTGAGGTAGGGCTCTGATGATGGGTGATTAGGCCTGGCTCACAGTCGGCGTTCCAATTCATCCCAAAGGTGTTCGATGGGGTTGAGGTCAGGGCTCTGTGCAGGCCAGTGAAGTTCTTCCACACCGGCATTGTTATGCTGAAACTGGAAAGGGCCTTCCCCAAACTGTTGCCACAAAGTTGGAATCACAGAATTGTCTAGAATTTCATTGTACACTGTAGCGTTAAGATTTCCCTTCACTGGAACTAAGGGACCTAGCCCGAACCATTATTCCTCCTCCACCAAACTGTATAGTTGGCACTAGCATTGGGGCAGGTAGCGTTCTCCTTGCATCCGCCAAACCCAGATTCGTCCCTCGGACTGCCAGATGGTGAAGCATGATTCATCACTCCAGAGAATGCATTTCCACTGCTCCAGAGTCCAATGGCAGCGAGCTTTACACCACTCCAGCCGACACTTGGCATTAAGCATGGTGATCTTAGGCTTGTGTGCGGCTGCTCAGCCATGGAAACCCATTTCATGAAGCTCCTGACGAACAGTTATTGTGCTGACGTTGTGTCCAGAGGCAGTTTTTGGAACTCTGTAGTGAGTGTTGCAACCAAGGACAGACGATTTTTACATGCTACGTGCTTCAGCACTCGGCGGTCCCGTTCTGTGAGCTTGTGTGGCCTACCACTTCGCAGCTGAGCCGTTGTTGCTCCTAGACGTTTCCACTTCACAATAACAGCACTTACAGTTGACCGGGGCAGCTCCAGCAGGGCAGAAATTTGACGAACTAACTTGTTGTTAAGGTGGCATCCTATGACAGTGCCACGTTGAAAGTCACTGAGCTCTTCAGTAAGGCCATTCTACTGCCGATGTTCGTCAATGGTGGAACAAGCTCCCTCACGACGCCAGGACAGCGGAGTCACTCACCACCTTCCGGAGACATTTGAAACCCCACCTCTTTAAGGAATACCTGGGATAGGATAAAGTAATCCTTCTAACCCCCCCCCCCCCCCAAAAAAAAAAAAATATTTATTGTAAAGTGGTTAACCCACTGGCTATAGGGCTAGAAGGGAATTTGTAAGTCGCTCTGGATAAGAGCGTCTGCTAAATGACGTAAATGTAAATGTATGGAGATTGCATGGATGTGTGCTCGATTTTATACACCTGTCAGCAACGGGTGTGACTGAAATAGACAAATCCACTAATTTAAAGGGGTGTCCATATACTTTGTATATATAGCGTACTCCGGACTCCAACATTGCTCGTCCTAATTTTTCTGTATTTCTTAATTCAATTCTTTTAGTTTTTAGATTTGTGCGTATTGTTGTTTATTGTTAGATATTATTGCACTGTTGGAGCTAGGAACAAAAGCATTTCGCTACACCCGCAATAATGTTTGTCTATGGAGATTGAATGGCTGTGTGCTGGATTTTATACACGTGTCAGCAACAGGTGTGGCTGAAATAACTGAAACCACTCATTTGAAAGGGGTGGCCACATACTTTTGTATATATAGTGTACTATGTTGGCCTTGGGCCCATGTATGTATCAAATCAGTCTCCACCAGTTAACCCTAACCCTATATTCACAACCTCTCCCTGACACTGATAAAGAGACCAGGTCAGGTCCTGATACAGAGACCAGGTCCGGTCCTGATACAGAGCAGGTCAGGTCCAGCAGAAAGCCACTATGAGGCGGTCAGCCAGTCACTTAGAGCCGTGAGAGTAGTGACAATGTCGTCAGCAGCAGCCCAGCACAGGATACCCTATCGGAAGGATCCGTGTGGGGTGAGTGCGTCACATGGCCCAAGGTCATGACGCTGTTCCTCCCAGGCACAGAACCTAGGAAATAGGGTGAGAGGTTGTGTGGGGGTGATGGGGATTGAGTGTGTATGTATGGGTGGGGGGGTAGACAGGCTACACTCTACACTATAGCTCAAGGCACTTTGAGGAATGTTACTTAGGTGTCTGGGGAAGGAGGGGGGTAGTTATCTAATTGTCACTTATTGCATCAGTTTGTTGGGAACAGATAAAGATGTCTAGAGTTTAGTGGTTGAGACATCTGAGCACAGTACAAAACAAAATAAAACAATTACGAGGTGACGTCTACATTCCATGGGACATTTATTAACAGTAAAATAATAACAATGCAATTTTGTTCAAGAGAGACTGAAAATCCCTCTCATATAAATAAGGGTCTGACTGACAATAAATAGTTGGCTACATACTGTATAACATTGTCCCTATATCTCAATAAACACCCTACTCCTTTATCCACCAGAGGTCACACTGGAGCTGTGAAAGTGTTGTTTGAGAATAGGCTCACCATGTCAATGCACAGGTAAATAACAACAGTACTAGTCTATACTATGCTTGTTATTGGTAGCCTAAGTGATAGCTTATTTGCAATTGATAATGCCAAAATGAATTAATTCATTCTAGAAGACTACAGAATAGCATTTTGGGAGCACACAGTATTGCGATATTGTAAAATAATTTGTTTCGATGGGGATTGCTGGATTTTATGTATTTATTTTTTATCAGTACTGTAATGAATGGGACACATCACTGAAAAGCCCATCAAAATGGGATTTTAAAAAGGTAGAGACAGGCTAAAATTGTTGTCCAACTGAATTGGTGATTGACTCCTCACCATCTGAAATGATCAGACGAGCCACAAACACAGAGAGAGAGAGAGAGAGAGAGAGAGAGAGAGAGAGAGAGAGAGAGAGAGAGAGAGAGAGAGAGAGAGAGAGAGAGAGAGAGAGAGAGACTTTTTATGGCGCCCTCTCATATATCCTCATAACCCCATGCAAATAAGAACAGCGCCCCAGTCAACCAATCAACTGTCAGCGGTACGTTTATCCCATGCCACTAGTGGAGGTGTTCGCTGTTCGTGTTCAGGTGAGCGCGTACAGTTAGTTATACTGTCCTTATTCCGCTACTTTCATGAGCCACGGAGAGGAGGAGGAGGACCTGGGGGCACAGTTGGCCCATCGTGGTATGCGAGCACGGACAGAAGGGAGACTGGACAGGGAGAAGACGACACGGAGAGCGGCCACAGCCGACCCCAACGCGACATGGAGATGACAACCCGCAACTTGCACCTCGACTCCAAAGTTGACAA